ATTGGGAACTTAAGGTGTTATGTGTTTATTTATGTATTTCAGATCTCCTAACCTAAGAGTTAGGTAGTAACAAGATATGTGGTAGTATATGTTAGGAGGGGAACTAGTGGATACGTAGTATTGACTCAAGGTTAGATTTCGGGGACGAAATCTTTTTAAGGAGGGGAGAATTGTAACATCCCGTTCCGGCAAAACCCATATTTCGATCGCTAGAAAGTTTGCGATTTAAAATCGAGCGTTTTGGCTGTATTTTGTCGAAAATCGGATTATCGATCGATCGGATAAGTATACGTATTAATTATATATATAATATATAATATATAATTATATATATATATATTAGTAAGTAGTCGGAGAGGCAGAGCCATTATTTCTTCTTCTTCTTTCATTCGGTTGAGAGAAAGCCGAGAAGCAGAGCTCGCATAGAGCTCCTATGAAAAAAATTTCAAAAGCTCCAATCTTGAGCCCTAGTGATCCAAAAATCCCGTAAGTAATGCCTAATTCATCTATTCATCGTGATTTATCGATTTAGAGCTTTAAAATGAGTTTTTGGTTCAGAAATTTCTTGAATTCCCGATAAGCCAAATTAGGGTTCCGGAGTATCTGGAAGCCGGATTGAGCCCAAATTTCATATACGAGCTTCCTGCAGCGAGGTAATCAATCCTCTAGTTCTAATCCCTGAATTTCAGCTATTATTTAGGTCGGAACCGGGATCGCTGAATTTAGCTCCGGTCAGGGTTTGATGTGTTTTTATCAAGAATTTGACCCGGAGCCTAGAACTAATATTGACGGGGATACTGCAGGGGATATTAGGACGGTCTCGGATTTTAATTCGGGGTTCGTTCCTGAAATTGACGTTTTAGTACGGGAGGCTAGAACCGGTGTTTGAAACGACCAGAACTGGTGAGGGATTAGCACGGCATACCGGGTTTGTCGTATCACGATAATTATATTGATGCTTAGAATTGACCTAGGTGAATTAGAATGGCATGATAAGGGGTGTATGAACTTTTGTGCTATATGATGAATCATGGACTACCGTATGATATTATTGACTTGCCCTAATTTAGATGGACATTGTTTATGCTGATGATTTCATACATGTTGCCATTTGTGGCTTAACTGTTGATATGACTTCCTGGTTGTTCGATAATGTGTTTTGACATGATGTGATATTATGGTTGTATTTGGATCCATAAGTGGGGGAATAAACTTCCCAAGGTGATATTATGATGTTTAAGGAGGATGACTTGCACGAGGGTTCACCCCGAGGAAGTGCAATTATACGACTCCTATTTTACCTATGTTGAGCCAAGTATGGCCCGGTCAAGTACATGTGCAAGTAATGAATTACGATTAAGCAAGATGAGATATGAATCATGTATAAGGATACCAAATATGAGTGTTGTGGTCTCACGGTCAACTACATAGTAATTAGGGCTCCCTCTGCTATTACTCTATTATGATATGTATGATAGTCACACCTCTCTTGTGGTGGTGACTGAAGATTTCTTACGAGATATGACCACACCCAGAGTGGTGTCGGGGTATGACTACACCCATAGTGGTGTGGGGTATGTATGACCACATCCGACGGGATGTTGGGGTATGTATGACTACATCCGACGGGATGTGGGCTATGTTTCCCGGGAGAGTTATTAGCATGGGAGTAGCCAGGCGCCTATAAGTAAAACATGATAAGAAGCATATGCATAAGTTAAGGTGGTTGAGTCTTTTGCCTATTGGGATGTCGAATGGCTAAGGTCTGATCCTAGTGTTTTGGCTTGATTGCTAGATGTATGGTAGGGGTATGCTCTGTTATGAACTCACGATGCTATGATTATCTCACTCAGCCATGAGCTGACCCTCTTTATCCTTTTTCTCTACTTATGCTATGTGTAAGTAGATCATCAGCAGCAGCAGTAGATAGGTGTTAGGTGGGAGAGGAGCTAGAGTTGAAGTCAAGATGAGGTATGGTCTTCAACTATTCTGTGCTTGGACTACTACTCGGGATTTTGGCCAGTGATCCACACCTTTTTGTAAAAATGTTTTGAGAACGTTTTCATGTGCATACTACCTTCTGATGTAGTGTGAGATATCCACAGGTGTGGAAAGTTGATGATATGTGTATATGTTGTGTAACTGTGTAAGTTGTGACGATTATGGTATGTATAAGTATGGTATGTAGTTGTGGAGTACGAAAGTGTGGCTATGGCTAAGAAAAGCCAATGCATATGGTTGTGAGTATGTATGTTTGTGATGAATTATTTTGCAGGATAAGTTGCAAGAACTGTTATCCCATTACGCGAGTAATTCATGTCGAAATTTTATTTGGGTAAATTTTGATAATTAGTGTAACACCCGAGATTAATTCCGCTGCAATTGTATGAACAATATGATTAGGCAAAACGTATAGGGTAGGGTGTTACACAAAAGTCCAGACCAGTCATCATCACTGAACTTTGATTTGAAGAATATCAGAACAGTCAACCAAGTAAGTACAAATTATCTATATTACAGTTGTCCAATTCATGCTAACCGTAAGTCCTTCTGTGTTTTAGTTTGTTACCATATGGTAAGGTGTGGTAAGCTATGGTTTCATGTTATAAAAATGGAGCAAAACATAAGTCCTGTTGTGGTTTACTTCGTTACAATATGGTAATGTGTGGTAAGCAATGGTTTCATGTTATAAAAATGGAGGAAACCATAATTCTTGTTCTGTTTTACTTTGTTACCATATGGTAATGTGTGGTAAGCTATGCTTTCATGTTTTAAAAGTAGCAAAAAACCATAAGTCCTGCTGTGTTTTAGTTTGTTACAATATGGTAAGGTGTGGTAAGCTATGGTTTCATGTTATAAAAATAGAGGAAAACATAAGTCCTGTTGTGTTTTAATACGTTACCATATGGTAATGTGTGGTAAGCAATGGTTTCATGTTATAAAAATGGAGGAAACCATAATTCTTGTTCTGTTTTACTTTGTTACCATATGGTAAGGTGTGGTAAGATATAGTTTCATGTTATAAAAATGCAGAATAGTGATAATAATTGCCAATACCATGTATTACCACCATGGTAACTAACCATACACCATACACACATTACCACCATGGTATCTTACAAAAACTCCCATTATGCAGGCTGAGAATGCAATCAAACTGCTTGAAGCATCAATGAAGGCAATGATGAAAGCAATCAAAGACCAGTACAAAAGCCAAATTGACAATCTGATAAGACACAAGGAGAATCTTGCGAAAGAAAGATGTGATGAATATGTTCAGCAAACAGAAGGAGAAAAATCTCATTGTGAAGATGATGAAAAAATTAATGCCAGTTTGAATAAAACACTCAATGAAATATTCAAACAGGCAAACATAGACCAGAACGAAGAGGAGAACGAGGAGCAAACACAGAAAGAAGATGATTCACAACCATCTACAGTTGATCTTGCTGCATCTACACCGAAGGCAAAAGAAAAAGAGCAAGATGTTTCTTCTCCAGGAGCTGTGGATAGGGAAAGCATCCAACAAGGAGATCCACTGGGGAAAGTTGCAACAGAACCACCAGCACAATCTGTTCAAGAAGGTCTAAATCAGGGAACACCACAACAAGAGGACACCCCGAAAGCAGTTCCAGAACAGACATCTATAGAAGAAACCGAAGAAAAAGGAGCTACCAAAACAGCAGATCCAATGGATGTTGATAAGGAAACAACAGAAGAAGGGAATACAGGGCAAGCTGCGCAAAAGACTGCAGAAACTGACAGCGAGAAAACGGTGTCAGATGATGTTGTTCGAGAAGAGGCTCCAAAACTGACAACCGAAGCTGCTGAGAAGCCTAAAGTGACAAGGGAAGACGACATTCCATCCTTTGATCTCAGCCCTCTCAACCATCAAACACCAACAACACCAACGAAGTTGACTACCAACACGCCAACCGATCAACCAGGAGAGCCTCGCAAAAGAAGAATCGTGGTGAAGAATGTGCACGGAAACGAAAAGAAGGCAAGAGGAACACCACCACCAGCACAACCACAAAGCACCCAGTCACAGACGGGGTCATATGCTATATGGTCAAATCTGTACACAAACAGCCAAGAGAAGCTCAAGGAAGTCCGTGAATGCATAGATGCTTACCTAGAGGACCTGAATTCTCCAGCTGTTGAACCAGTAGCTCCACAGTCACAAAGATCACCAGTTGAATGGTCAACACCAACACAAACAACACCTGATGATATGTTCAGCAACATCCTGGAGTACATAAGATGCAAAAACAAGAAATTTGTCAAGAGGTAAGTCATCATCTTAAAACTTCTACTGTTATATGATGTTACTGTAGTGATCTAGTTTGTTACCATATGGAAAAATATGGTAAGATATGGTAAAATTAGATAAATCTATGGTTTAATGTTACAAAATGTAGTAATGCACAAGTCCTATTTTGTTTTAGTTTAATACCATATGGTATGATGTGGTAAGCTAAGGTTTGTTGTTAAAGAATGGATTAAACCATAACTCCTGTTGTATTTTACTTATTACCATATGGTAAGATGTGGTAAGCTGTTGTGTTTTACTTATTACCATATGGTAAAATGTGGTAAGCTATGGTTTTGTTGTGGTAACCTATTGTTTGATGTGATAAATTAAAGTAAACCATCCGTCCTGTTGTGATGTGCTTTTATACATTGATGAGATAATATTTAAAAGGAAGGATGGAACATTCTTGCTGAAAAGGGAGTTTGTACAGTCGATTGACATTAACTGTGAAATCACATCTGATGTCATCGACTGGTATGGAGATGTAATGAACAGGAATGAAGCACAAAAAGGAAAATTCAAAAGGTGGTTCTTCGATTCATCTTTGGCAGTAAGTAAACCCACCCATATTCTGTCAATAGTTCTTAGACAACACATATATAAAACACATAATAACAACCACAACTTTCAGGGTGACTGCCAACTGGACATTGATAGTGGCAATCCTGTACTATCTCCAGACGATTACTACAATAAAGTGGACTTGGACATCACCAACAAAGAATGGGCAAAAAACCTCAGCTTCATAGAATGTATCCTTGTAAGTATCTCACCACAATTTTTGCAGTGGTTACCATATGGTATATAGTGGTAAAATTAGTTTGCAATGGTTCTTAACTTACTGTTCATCACTTATATGGCAACTGCTTACCATATGGTATACTGTGGTAAAATTATTTTGCAGTGGTTCTTCCCTTACTGTGATAACAAGCACTACATCATGATTTGTGTCAACATCAAAGCAGAGAGATTTGAAGTACTCGACAGTCTCCGTCACAAAGAATTTAAAGAATACTACAAACCAATGGCAGACAGGGTTGTCCAGTACGCAATCAACTACATGAAGACACAGTTTGCCAACAAGACAGTAAAGTGGGAGAGGTTTACCTGGTTCAACCTCGAGAAGGTTACACAACCAGATCAAATATCATGTGGGATGTACATCATCAGGTGGATGAGACACTGGGAAGATAAGTACAACAGTGCCCTGACCAAAGACTGGAAGAGGATTGATCTCATAAATGAAGAAAGGGAGTGCCTGATGTTGGACATCATTATTGATGAAGAAACACTACAAAACCAATAAATATTGGGGACAAACATAGGGGACAAAGGTTTAATTGTGTGCCGAAAAATACCATTTTAAGTAATTTTAGGGACAAGGGAATAAAATCGTCCCCGTAAATGAAGAGATAAACATTTGACTAGTTTGGCATTTTTTTAAGCGTCCCTAATGATCTGTACGCTAAATTAAATAATAAAGTTTAGCGGTATCGGAATCTGAGGGATCTATGGAAATTACCTTTTTTTTACCGAGCCCTCCTACGATTAATTAGAAAAAAAAACAATCATTTTTAGAGGCTCGAGTACACGGCTGAGGGCATTTGGCCTTCGACGGTGCTTATTAAGGAACACGTGGTCATAAGTACAAGTTATATATGTTACGATTTGCCATCCCCAAAGATATAATACTACAGAGACATATGGTCTTAACTACAAGTTAAATAAGTTACGATTTACCCTCCCCGAAGATATAACACTTGAAGGACAAGTGATTGTCCCTACAAGTTATTTGTAGTTGTCCTCGAAGACACATATTGACAAACACTTTGTCGTTGTGCAAATAACACATATAGCAATTAGTCATCCTCGAAAGCACATGGTAAAGGATAATTGGTCATCCTTACAAATTACATGGAGACGATTTATCATCTTAGAAGACACACATATACATCATGGAATCTTCAACCCCAAAGATAATGTTAATCACAACTTAAAGTTTAAAGTGTGTATCTCACAATTTTGAAATATTTAGAACAATAATACTATATTGTAATTTCATCACACAAAATCAAATGATTAAAATAACAATTAGGAAGAAAGTGATTTGTATATATACACAAATAAGTGAGTATATGCTAGGTAGTTTTTTATTATTATTATTATTATCTCTAAAAATCATTATGGTAATATGTGGATGACCGCCTTTAATCCATCGTTTTACTGAGCAAAACATACAGACCCCCTTATTCTAGAACCCTCCATCTCATCTTATTTCATCTTAACCGTTCATTTTAATTGATCCAAATCCACACCATCAATTGAAATAAAACCTACAAAAACCCTACTTCTATCCCATCCTTCTATTTCACTCGCCCGAGTGGCCTCCACTTTCTCCCATTCTTTTATTTTCTCTATTCCATATGGCTGCCGGCGAGGAATCTTTAAATATATCATCAGACGTCGTCGAGCTCCAAATTGATGCTTCTCTTTCCCATATTCATCAGCGTTCCCTTGCTTTTGTTCTAGTCATGCGATGGTACGAATTCGATTTTTTTTTTTAAAGTTTCTTTATTTTATTCCAATGTAGTATATTTTCTTTTGTGCAAGTGGTTGAATGTATTGCTCAGTTTTTGTTATATCTGTAATTTTCTAGGCTTGTGACGCTTTCTTTTTGTTGTTGTTGTTGTTGTTCTCCTGGGCTGGACACTGGTTATGGCGAGGATAGGCATGGTAGGGGAAAATGAAAGTTGGGAGCGAATTAAGCAAGGGAAGAAACAGTTTGCCACAGAGATCTAGCAAGAGTACTGGTGCTTGTCTTGGTGAATTTGCGTTTTCTTTGTCAAATTGGCTAGTAATTTTATTGTGTATTTTCTATACTGAATTTATTTATGCAAGTGTACAGTGCTTACTCGAGGATTGATATAATAATTGAGATGTTGCCCTGAGCTTTCAATTAAAATTTTGTCCTCGTTACCAACTTCAAAATTTCAGTTGCGAGCCTAATCTAGTTGATAATTCCTCATCTTTAAAAGGATTAAGGTTATTATATCATTAATTGAGGACAATTAGTCATTCTCAAAAGGTGCAGTGACAACTCACCGTCCCCTAATACATAAGGAACAATTTTTCGTCCCTAAAAGACATAGGTGACAACTTATCGTCTCTAAAGATTTAGAATAAGAGACCGCTCGTTTTCCTTGAATAAAGCTTTGGGGACAATATTGATCCTATAAAAAGAGAAGGGGATGATATATTATCCCCATATACAGGCCCAACAAGATCATGAAATCGATTATGCGGGACAACAGATTGTCCTTGGAAATGATGTTTAGGGGACGATTTATTGTCCTTTTAGTTATAGTTATAGGGACGACATGTTGTCTTTCATGAAAATAAAAACAGACGACGACGTGCAAGTATCGGGGACGACTGTCGTCCCTAGTAATGGGGACGACCTAGATTTTTGTCGTCCCCAAAAGAATAGAGGACAAGAGTATAGGGAACCACATATTAGGGACGACTTAGTCGTCCCTAAAAACTATAGGGACGATTTTTCCTATTTCCGGGGACGACTTTTGTCGTCCCGAAACCTCATCTTTTTTGTAGTGTGAGTTGGTTGTTGAGAGTCGGACCCTGGAAGCGCCATCGGAGATTAGAAAGCAAGCAGCCAACAACAAGAACAAAAGAATACAAGCTTTCGAAGCCATGGATATATATATCTTTAATTTATTTAGTATGTTGCTTGGAGAAAATTTTCCTTATGCTTTCAACTGTGAGTTTATGTTTTTGCTATATGTTCGACATATATATAGTATATACACACATAAGTCCGGCTTTATTCCAATTAAAAAGACTCTAAACTTGATATTTGTGTGAGAAACAGGAAATGAATTCGCTTTCGTACGTAATCGCCATAGCCAATGATTCTACAATTTTTCCTTTCTCCTGATGGCTTCCTGTAAAGTATTTCTCACGCTGTGCCATTTTGTAGAAGATTTCATCCATGGATGGCAATGGTTCAGTGAATAAAACTTGGAATCTAGGAATTGAGTAATTCTCATTCAAACCTCTAAGGAAGTGCACAATCAAATTGGTTTCCTGATGACCTTTAACTATGTTTATGGCTTGGCAGTCTGTGTGACTAGTAGTTGTGCAGGAACATAAAGGGATAGGTTGATAGTTTTTCAACTCTTCCTAGATGGTAATCACATCAATATGATATTTTGATAATGTTCTACTGCCTTGTTTTAAGGTACACAGCTGTTCTTGAAGTTCCACAATCCTAATTAAATCTCCTTGAGCATATATATGAGTTTTAGGGTTTTCCATATATCAGCTGTTGTCTGAATACTTCACACACTCTTCCTAATTACCTCACCAACAGACAGTGATCCAGCTCTTGACCATAGTGTTGCAGCTCGTCCAAGGCCAGGCCATTGCATCTCCTGCATCTAGCTTGGGAATGAATCCATCTATGAAACCCAGCTTGTTCTTGGATGCTAGCATATCGATCATGGCGGAACTCCAGTCATTATAGTTGTGGGGAGTGAGCTTCTGAGGAATGAAAACTTGTCCTGGCTGCTTAGACCCATGAAGGCAGTAGGGATCTGAGAGCGGGTACCCAGTAGGACGACTATTGGTGTTTGTGTTTATGGAATCAGAAGGATCAGCAACAGTGTTGTTGGTGGTATTGGTAAGCCATTGTTGACTAAACTCGGCATATGCAAAAACAACGAGAAAGTTAGAAGAAGAAGAAGAAGGTGGATGAACAAGGTAAGGGCACAAAATCCTAACCAGGCTCTCATACCATAAAACATTTTGGCCAAAATAGAGTCTGAGGTTTTAGCTTACTCTCTCCTCTTCTTATCATTAATATATATAATCTGATTATAACTCAGTGATCCAGTTGTGCTGGTGAAAGTGAGACAGTGAAAAACAGAGAAACAGAGAAGACAAACAAAAAGTATAAAAAAAACTGCTCGTTAGGGGCTTGAGTTCAAGTCCTTAAGTCTCATTCCTTAAGGAGAATCTTAAAGCCTTCCTATTGGTTGATAATGGATTAGGTAGTTAAATGGGTTTAGTAGTTAATAGGTAGTTAAGAGTAAATGGGGTTATGCCAATATAATTAATGATTTTCTTTCTCTCTCCTCCCATGATTTAATGAAATCCGAATTTATAATTTTCCTTTTATAAAATGGAAATTTAAAATTTAAAATATATGGCTTCTCTAACATCTTGGCAACTTGCAATTTAGTATCAATATATTGTAATGACATTATCAATATTTATAAATTGAATCGTCATTAGGGCTTTTCGTTGCATGGGTTTAGGTTTTTTCGTTTTTAGGTATTCGTTTGTGTTATTATTAATGTTGTTCGACAAGTTTTTTAATAATGTTATATGACATTATTAACTTCTTATGTTTTGTTTTGTTTTGTTTGTAACATTAGCAAAAGTGAAATTGTGTTTTCAACTTGTTGGTATTTGAAGTTCATTTACTATTACATCGTATTATCAATTTGGTTCGCAATGATTTATAATCATTTGAAGTGTTATTATCAATGTTTTTTGCAAGCACAATACAACCATTAGCAACAATTTATTTCATTGATTTTTATTATTAACATTTTTTCGTTTATGTTTGTAACTTTCTCAAATGTCATTATCAAGAAGCATACTTGTTAGGTATTCGATTGTTTATGACATTAGCAAAAGTGATTTGTGTTTAATGATATAACTATGATTATTAACCTTTCAGGCTAAGTTAGTAACGTAGTTGGTGTCATTATTAATGGGTGTGTATAAGCATTATCAATGTTTGAAAAAATAAGATATTAATAATATCTACTAAGGTACTTAACAATTATTAGTTGCTATCATTATCAAATTTTTTGGTTGCATTATCCATTAAGCACATGTTAGTTATTAATGTGTTTTAGTGCTATTTGACATTAAACAATTAATCTGAATATTATTAATATTTTTTATTACAAAAATCTATTTCCTTATCAGTGACTTGCTCATTTGTTATTAATGGCTTTTAATATCTTTATTCAAAGCTTGATGTCATTTTAAAATGTTGAAGTCGGACATTATTATATTGATGTTTTGTGTTTATTTTCAACGAAATATTTTTCATTATCAATGATTTATGGGTAATGTCTATTTTTTATCCAAACATTTTTCAGATTCTTTTATATTATCCAAACCTATGGAAATACTAAGAATTAGCCAAATTTTAACTTACAGTTAGCAATTTTGTTAGTAATATTGACTTGGCTACATGATACTGACTTGGAAGAGACTCATGAAGGTTAACATTCCAAAATTTTAATATTTTAACTAAGAAAATAGTTACAAAATTATTAATGATAACGTAAAAATGGCTACTATTTTGATGCATTATGAAAGATTGGATAATTAATAGAATTTTAATAGGTTTGGATAATATAAAAGAATCTGAAAAAGGTTTGAATAAAAAATAGACATTATCCATGATTTATTGTATTGTTATTAAAAGTTTGGTGTTGAGGCGTGAATGTTTGTTTACTTGAGCTAATATTTTTCTTGACAATGTTTGTTTGACTGAATCACACTGGTGCACTATGTCACAAGTACCCAAGATGTTGAAAATCAATATTGTGATTTATGATCATTGAGAATGATAATGTAAAACAATATTATAAAATGTTAATAATGTCATTAAAAATCATTGAAAGAGGCCACGACTAGATAGTTATAAACATTATGTGAAAATGTGAATCATTAGTACTAAAGATGTTGTAAATCAATGATATTGTTATTCAAACTTTTTTTTTTGAAACACTTTATTCAAGCTGTTAATGACCATGTTACATCACTTTAATGATTCACTCATAGGCGTTGATGACGAAACCATAAAACGGTAACAATTGATCCAAAATTGTTAATAATGTAATTGTAAACAATTGATAAATATATTGAAATCGTTAATAGTGATGAACTATAATAATAACGATTCATTTCATAAATGCTGATAATGTTATTGCAAAATGTTAATAATGCATTGCAAGTTGTCACGAAGTGAGAGAGCATATATTTTTAATTTTCAATTTTAATTTTAAAAAAGTAAAAAAGTATTAAGTTCGAATTTATTAAATATTAAATAATAATATTTAATTAAATTAATTTCGAATTTTCTTTTCATTGTAGTGGAGAGAGAGGGTTATGGAGAAGATCAAGGGAGAGAGAGAAAGAGTATCATTAATGAGTAATATTAATTAGATTTTTATAATATCTTATTTATTCAAACTAAATATTAACTACTAACCATCATTAACTACCTAATCTAGTATCAGTCAATAAAAATAATTTAAGAACCTCCTCCTTAAGCAATGAGGCTTAAGCACCGGATCTAACCCGCTTTTTAGGCCGTTAGAAATGGAGCTCTTCCATTGGTCGACGATTGTCCATTCTTCATTCTACACGTGACTCTGAGATTCGACTCGCTATGCTCCAGAAAGGCGACGTCTCGACAAGTAAGTTTGTGAAAAGAAAAAACTATTATTTCTTCTTGTTTTGCTGTTAGAGTGGAATGTGGATCATGGAACCGTTTTGGCGCGAGAGCGAAAGAAGTAGAGAGGGGACATTTTTTCGCAAATAGGCGATCAAAGTAAAGAGAAAGCAGTTGCCTCATGCCTGTGGCTGTTATTGCTGAACCCTTCCTCAAAAATCAAAACAAGACAAAATAAAAGCAATTATTATAGAAAAGAAAGAAGATGGTCAATAAATAAATGAAAAGCTGTATACTTTTCTTCGTTTGTTGCGTTGGGGTTGTTGCCCATTTGCCACTCTTCCTTCCACTCCACCTCTTCTTCAAGAAAAGGGAAAATCCCCCCAACCCCTCACGAAAACCCAATTCCTCTCTTACTTCGTCATCTCCTCTTCATAGCCGCCGTTCGCTCGCTAGCTAGCTTTAACCACTGCTTCTGGAGCTCTCCATTCCGCACCAATTTCGGATTCAGAACCCTGCTTCTTCCTGGGTAGCTTCTCCTGCAGAAAACCAGAGACATAATTTGGTTGTGAGTGAAAGAGCAGTAACCCCGCTCTTCGCACACCTTTCTGTCAGTGTCTCTGCAGCTAGACCACCAGTTGGAATTCATTGAGAGCGAGAGAGGTAAGAACTTGGCGGCGGGTGTTTTTCCTGTTTTTTTTTTTTTTTTTTTTTCTCTGTCGTTCTTTCTTCCAGAAAACACAGACACAATTCAAAGCTTGGCAGGAAAAGGGGTTTCTGGTTCTTGTGGGGTTTTCCTGTTTTGGGTTGGGGCATCAGAAGATTATAACAACAAGAGTTGCAGAGAGATAATAGGATGTTTGGCTGCGATTGCTTTTACTGGAATCAACGACAACAAGCCGTTGACTTTGACAGTCTCCCTGAGCCAAAGCCTTTCTCCTTACCTGCTCCTCTCCCTCAATGGCCTCAAGGTTCCCCCTTCCCCACTTCACTCAATTTCAATTATCTGCGAAACTTTTTTTTTTTTTTTTCCTTCCAAGTCTGAATTGGTTGACCATGTTTTTGCCTTGAGTAGTTGGATTTGCGAACTGGGAATTTGTCAAAAGTAGCATGCTTGTAACTTGATGATGTTATTATAGGTCAGGGATTTGGTACTGGGAGAATGAATTTGGGAGAGCTAGAGGTTATCCAAGTAACCAAATTCGAGAGTGTTTGGAGATGCATCCAATTGGGTGGGAATTCACAATTAGGAGTCTCGTTTTACAAACCTGTTGGGATCCCTGATGGCTTTCACTCCCTTGGTTACTACTGCCACCCCAATGATCAGCACCCACTGAGAGGTTATGTCCTTGTCGCTCGTCAAATCAACCACCCTCAATCGTTGTCATCGGACCCTCCACCATTGAGAAAGCCAATCAACTACTCGCTGATTTGGAGCACTGGCTCACACTATGGTGACAAAGGCTATTTCTGGCTTCCAAATCCACCAACAGGTTATAAGGTCATGGGAATAGTAGTTACACATGACTCGAACCAGCCAGATGTGGATGAAGTGAGGTGCGTTCGAGCAGACCTTACAGAACACTGCGAGACTTGTGATCTCGTTTTCTCCATGGATTCGAAAAGCGGCTCTAACCAGCAATTCCAGATTTGGACCACTAAGCCATGTGCAATGGGAATGTTCGGTAAAGGTGTCTCTGTTGGAACATTTTACTGTCAAAGTGCAATTTCGAGTTCAGAAGAAGCTCTCGCAAGCATAGCTTGCTTAAAAAATCTCGACAGTACCCTATCTGCAATGCCAAACCTGAACCAGATTCATTCCTTGATCCAACACTATGGCCCTACAATGTACTTCCATCCTGATGAAGACTATCTCCCTTCTTCGGTGCAGTGGTTCTTCAAAAACGGAGCACTCCTGTACAAAGATGATTGGAAGGAAGGTCAACCGATCAACTACATGGGGTCAAACTTGCCAAGTGGAGGTGTAAACGACGGTGAATATTGGATTGATTTACCCCTCGATGATGGTGAAAGCAGCAGTTTGAAAAATGGAAACTTGGAGAGTGCAGAGCTTTATGTTCATGTGAAGCCAGCACTTGGGGGGTCCTTCACCGATGTAGCAATGTGGGTGTTTTGTCCTTTCAATGGACCAGTGACACTCAAGATAGGGCTCATGAGCTTACCAATGTCGAGGCTAGGGCAGCATGTGGGCGATTGGGAACATGTCACTCTCCGTATCAACAACTTCACTGGAGAGCTATGGCAAGTGTTTTACTCCGAGCACAGTGGGGGGAGATGGGTGGATGCCTCCGAAGTGGAGTTCATTAAAGGTAGTAATAAGCCGATTGTGTATTCTTCGAAGCATGGCCATGCTAGCTTTCCCCACGAGGGTATGTTTCTTCAAGGTGCAACGAAACTTGGAGTCGGCGTGAGAAATGATACTGCTCGGAGTGATTACTTTATCGATTCCAGCATTAAGTATCAACTCATTGCAGCCGAATATCTTGGAGAAGAAGTCATTAAAGAACCGAGCTGGCTGCAGTACATGAGAGAATGGGGTCCTACTATTGTGTACGACTCTCGGTCTGAGATCGATAAGATTATCAATATACTGCCGTTTTTTGTTCGGTTTTCGGTAGAGAACCTCATCGAGTTGTTTCCGACAGAGCTTTATGGTGAGGAAGGACCAACTGGGCCAAAGGAGAAGGACAACTGGGTTGGAGATGAGATATGTTAGCTGTTGGAAAATCAACCAGCATTTTGATGAAAAAGGTTTGCTTGCTATTCCACACTGTAGAAGGCTACATTTGTAAATTATACCATAGGGGAGAAGTACACCATTAGCATGTGTGATTGTTTGATTGGGAAGACATCTATCAAAAAATGTAGTGTTCACATGGTGGAAATTGTTTGTATGTTGTATCAACATCAAGGTTGTTAAACCCTTATCGTATCCTCAGTTGGACCCGATATGACCTAAGTATGGCTTCAAAATAATCTTCAGAAAGCCCTCCGATCTGCCCCTAAAGAGGGAGAAGAAGAGAGGGGGAAGAGAGAAAGAGGAACAAAAGAAGGGAGATGGTGGATGGGTCATGGAGATTAGGTAGATTTATTTTGTGGAAAATAAGTTTTTAATAGATTCATGTAAGATAAATTCCAATTCAATTATTAAATCTTTAATTACTACCTTATTTGTATATATATTTAGAAAACGTCTAAATCGGCTTAAACCGGCTGGAACTTAATCAAACCATTAAACCTCAAACTCTTTGCTTGACCTGCTCAATGACTTAACCCGGTTTCCCAACCTTAATCAAGATACAAGGCTTTTGAAGCAAGTCCTGATATGTTTCCTTGGAAGTCCTTTCTTATCCTCATCGCTTGTATGAAAGTTAAGAGTTGGGACTTTGCTACGGTGACTTGCAAGTCACCGTAACTTACACTTTTCAATCGACCTCATTTAGGATTAGGTCGACTTAATCTGTTGTTTGTGCAAAAACAGTTTCATGGTGCCTACTTTGGATATTCATATCTTACAATTGGCTCGATGGAAATTGGAGATTAATGGCTTGTTTTGAAGCTAGAGTGACCCTCTACACTTTGAAAGTACTTGGGAGCTCAATAGGAAGTCCAGATGACCATTTTTGAACCTGATCAAAAGAATATGCCAAAACTGCGAAACTGCCTGAAAATGGCCAAGTCTAGGAATGTGTTTGTAAAGCCTACTTTGGAGCTTAATTAGAGAGGCATGAATGAGATTCGAGTCCAGGGGCCTCTACCACGTGGTATGTTTGTCTACAGATTCAAGGCATTGGATGGATGAAAAATTAGATATCTAGAAGGCTTCAATCAAAAGGCTCGAAGTTGCTACGAATGTCGTTTTTCTGGCAGCTTGCCTGTGCTAGAAGGTAGCATACTTCGTAGCAAATTTGAGTCTTTTCTTTGAAGCCTTCCAGATATCTAATCTTTCATCAATTGCCTTGCCTTTGTAAAAAAACATACATACATTCATGTGGTAGAGGCCCCTGGACTCGACTCTCATCCATGCTTCTCGAATTGAGCTCCAAAGTAGGCTTCACAAATGCGTTCTCATACTTGGGTCATTTTCAGGCAGTTTCCAAGTTTTGGCATAGCCTTTTGATCAGGTTCAAAAATTATCTTCTGGACTTCCTATCGAGCGCCCAAGCACTTCAATGTGTAGAGGGGCACTCCAGCTTCAAAACAAGTCATTAATCTCCAATTTCCATTGAGCCAATTGTAAGATATGAATCTCCAAAGTAGGCACCATAAAACTGTTTTTACACAAACAACAAATTAGGTCGACCTAATCCTAATTGAGGTCGACCAAAAAGTGCAAGTTACGATGACTTGCAAGACACCATAGGCACACCCTAAGACTTGTTGTGCGGGTCTGCAAGCAAACACGGATAGAGCCATCAAAATTTGGGTGGCAGCATAACTAAATGATATTTGTAAGAATTAACTCATTCCATAAATAATAATTTCATAATGTTATGTTTTTTTTTGTCAATAAAAGAAAATGTCAGGTACAAGTGTACATGGGCATCGACTGGGCTGCCCATAGGCTAGCACGCCACGAATACTTTATGGTTGTCATCATGAGCACAAGTACATGCACGGCACGATTTATAAGTGTAACGTATCGTGCCTAATATTTTTAAAACCCTATTGAGTATAAGTACGCGCTAAACGAAAAAAATATTTATTTTATAGGAAATAAATATAACAAGAATTATAAGTTTAAATATTACAAAATACAATAACAGAAATAATTATTTATTGTTGCTAAAAGTGGTCATAAAGATATTATATATAATTAGTACCATAAATAAAAAATTTCATTATTCATATTTTATGTTCTGGAACATAGATATTCTTCGCAAATTTTATTTAACAAAGTGTACAAAATTGTAATAGAAAATAAAATTAAAAACATTGGAAAGGGAGGTGAACCTAACCACGCCATACCTAGAGTCATGGGGAAAAAATCCAGAAAATAGCACTTTTTAAAAAAAATTATAAAAATAGCACCCAAACAAGACAAATTTCAAAAGTAGCACCCTTCTCCATGAACCGCACATCAAAGCGGCGGTTTACACAGAAACCGTACAAGGAAGATACAGTTTGTGCTAGGGCGGCCGAGGAACCGTTTTAGCGGGCTGCGATTTCTTAAACCGTACGATCGAAGGGCGATCCAACGGTGAACCGCATGCCAAGGGAGCGATCCGCGTCAGGGATCACAAACCGCTCGCCAAGGATGCGGTCTTCGGCCTCGAAAAAGCAAACCGTGTCCCGAGGGACTGGTTTCTGTTGGGGCAAATTTACAAAAGCGCCTCTGAAAGGGGCGGTCTGAGTGCTATATAAACCCCTCTCCCCCTCCCATTTTTTCCACACCACAACTCATTCTTCCCCCTCTTCTCTACAATTATCTCTCTATCCATCCCCTTCTCCCCCCCCCCCCCCCTCCCAACAACAAAAACCTAGCAAATAGTGTTATGTTGGTTGCGGCTAAGTCCGATCTGCCATCAGAGAATATTTCTTTGGTTTTTCCTTCAAAACCCGTCGAATCTCTGTTCGACTTATTAAAAAAGTGAATGATTGGCACGAAGACAATGTTATTTTCCAAGATGACTATAAAGCGGTACGTACTCATTTTACCAATTTTTTGTTGTTGTTATAATTTTTAAAATTAATCTATATACTGACTAATTAGACATGTTGATATTCTCTCGTGTGTTGGGGACGACGTTGATATTTACAACCAACGATATTATATCGAGCAAGGATCGATTGATCCAAGCGTGTTGTACGACCAACATAACCATCGTTCAAGAGATGTTTGGAACGATCACCAGGTACATACATGGATTAGTCTCCTTAGTCATTTTTTTAATTGGTTTATGTACTTAGTGGTTTATAAATTAAACTTGATAATTTTTAATCGTATTGATTATTTTCAATGACTTGGTCTAATACAATGCGCCATTTACCTAGACTCTTTATAAAGAGAAGCATGCCTAATGAAATTGGGTTTTAAGTAATTATGATGATCCTCCCATTTCCTGGGAAAATCGGGTTTTAAGCGATTCTCGGATCCTCCCTTTTTCTGTCAAAAGGGTTGTGTTTCTAAAAAGATGTATACCTCTTCTAAGAGCCTAACGAGTGTTGCATTGTATTCGATTAAGTTATTGAAAACAACAAACACGATTTACACAATATTGTCATGGATTTAATGTGTATGTTTTCAAATATTTATTTAAACGGTTTGTTATAAAAGATTACTTTTTGTTATAATTATTATTGCTTATTTAAAATAGTTTATTATTGTTTTCAATGTGCATTGTCCTTCGATTAAATTATTGTTTATTTAAACTATTTGTTATAAAAAATTTATAATTGTTTATTATAGTATACTTCTGGGGAAAGTTAATTTTTTTTCTAGGATGCATACCATGTAATCTGCTATAAGGGTACGACCAATGTACTCGCATATAATGACATCATCTTGCCTTATCTCAAAAGGGCATGGTTGGAGTCGATTAGGCACTTCTTAGGGATAAAGATCGACCGTCAACTCATCACCGCATTGGTGGAGAGATGGCGAAATGAGACACATTGCTTCAATTTTCGCGAAGGAAAGTGCACCATCACACTAAAGGATGTCGTCATCCTAACCCATCTGCCCATCAACGACAATGTGGTATGTGTGAGCGATCGTGCACCACCGGATGTTGGCGGGATGACCAATTGGCAGCATTTGATCCACAACGTTTTGGGCATCCGAGTACCAGTCAAGGGAAGCATTGATGCGGAGGATCGCAATGCACCATTGAGGAAGCGACAAGTATCAATCACTTCGTTGACTAGGGAGATCAAGAACCGACACGATGACTCACTCCTACTGTCACTTTAGAAAATGGCCAAGTGTAACCACTTCCTAAAGCGTAGTGTAGCGGGTTTGGGTTTTATTGTCAACCCGGGTCCTAGATGTGATGACTACTCAGTGAATTCGTATTATCTAGCAATGCAACTTTAGTGAAGATCTAAACTAACAAGCAAACAAAACAACTAAACGGTTGTATTCAGGTTAAGAGAGGTCACCCGGATATGGTTCCCCCTAGTCTGCAGTTAAGCCGAATTGTAATTACCAAGTTCAATTTCTATGATAGTTATACTGCGGAAGGTTCTCAAACAGTCTGAAGTCTCGACTAAAGGTCTTCAGACCCTCTCAATCTGAGTCTCTAGCGGGCGACTAACCTCCACCGGAGTAAACAGATTGAGGCCCTATGAACAAAACCTCCACTACCGAATTGAATTCGGTACAGAATAGTGAATTGGCTCCTCAACTAAAGTCACCAATTCACTACCTTCGATTAAGGATACTCTATCAACCTAGGCAGATATTATCATTCTAGGTTAAAGCAGAAACAACAGGAATTTGATCAGGATTCATGCCATTCAATCATTCAAACCTCAATCGAATATAATCAATATCATAGAATCAATACTTGGGTTCATACAATCAAACCTAACATACAGAACTAGGGTTTCCCATACCCAGATGAATGGGAGAACTACTCCATGGAGAAAGAAGCAAAAGCAGAATCAGACGCGGAAATCATACTGTGAAGATGGATTTCTGCTCCTGGACGTTGACTCTGCACTTCTCCAAGCTCAAGCCAAGCTCCAATGGTGTTGAAGATCAAGCTAGGGCACTTGGAGACTCTTGTTCGTCGCTTTCTCTCTCTAGGAACCGCTCTGTCTCTAAAAAACTCGAATCCCCCTCTGTTTGGCTCGGAATCCGCTTAAAAACCAGAATTTCCCGACTCGCACGGCCAGGGTGCACGGCCGTGCATATCACCATTCTGGCCGTGCGGCTCAAAACGCGGCGTACCATTAAGTCGAACTTCAGCCATCTCGCACGGCCAGGATTGCACTTTGCACGGCCGTGCGGATTTCACTTGTGCCCGTGCGTGCTCTCGCACAATCCCGCACGGCCAAACTGGTCACTTGCACGGCCGTGCGGGTTTTCTGCTCTGCCCGTGCGTGCTCTCGCACAATCCCGCACGGCCAAACTGGTCACCTGCACGGCCGTGCGGGTTGTGGGTGTGCCCGTGCGACTTCCTCAGAACCTCGCCATGCGTCCGATCCTCGTCCAATCGACCTCAAACTCGCTCCCAAGCCTCCATTCACGTACTAGGACCTGAAATATCATAAACAAGCACAACCTAGCGTGAAATTGGCATAAAACACGAGAATCAAT